TACATGAGGCGCTGAATTTTTTCTGTGACTTTTTTTCACAACTCATTTTTATTATTATTTTTATAAAATAAAGCTTCTGAAAATACAGATTTAAATTTTAAGCAAAACAATAATATTTATTATTTATATTAATTATAGGTTATCTGATAGGTGTTGGTTATATGATAAAAATAATTTACGCAGAACAAATTAAATGTTAAAAAATATGTTGAATTGCACAGAAAGTTACGTACTTAGTCATCTGGGGGTCAAATTGACCCCAAGGCAAAAAAACCGCTGTTTCTAATTAAAATATTAAAGCGATGTTGACTCTACTTGGCTGAAGTCAAGATTAAGATGTAGAAAGAACATACTCAAAACGGTAGATTTACAAACAAAAGCGAAACGGAGAAACATTCATTTATTTGTGCGTGGGGGTCAGTTTGACCCCCAAGTGCTTAAGGGTTAACTGTAACCGCAAACAATAAACTGAAAAAATGAGTAAGCCTTAAAGTGAACATGCAACCTAGCCTAGAAGCGATCTCATTTATACTATTTCGTTTCTTTAAGATCCTGAATGGGCTGCGGTCTTCTCTAAATGAGCTTCAAAAGGCGCATCACCGCTGTCTTTTCGTGTTTTTAACTGAGCTGTAAAAAAGCTCGTCACTTTAGAAATTACCGCTCGTTTAAACTTTAGTTACCACGAGCAACATTAGTGTGCCCGATGAATACAAAAATTTGTAATTGAACTCCAAATTGTATTTATTCAAAATTTTCACATAAAGAAAAATGTAATCATATATTTATTCAAAATTTTGAGTTTTCAAAAAATATTTATTCACAAAAAACTATGAATATTTAAGGAATATTCATATTCATTCTCAAATAAAATATAAACTGAAAAAAAACTCCAATAAGCAATCGTTACCCTTTAATTATTATATAATCGGCACTTTGATGACCTCAAGTAAAAAAAAATGAATTTTATTTATTTTTGTCATTGTAATATTTAAATTTTAGAAGGAAACTTAGAAATTTTGAAAAATATTTTAAAAAGCAATACATTTTTTATTTATAAATATCTATTTGATAAAGCGCCATACATATTCCGATATAATTCCGATTACATCACAGTAATATTATAAACATTTTATAAGATATTTTGGGCGCGTCGTTCATTATGGTCTGTGGACATTAAATTCAGAGATATATTATTTATTCCCAATAAAAATGTCCTTGTTTAATCTATAGGTTAAACAAGAACGCCCGTCGTATAGATCTAAGCGGACTAAGCACACGATGTAATAGTAGCCATTGTTTTTATAGATTTCTATTTTCTCTTGCAGGCTTACAAGTTATGTGCAGATAATATAGAGTAAAAGTGAATACGAAACGAAAATATTCGTAATCATATTAAAAAAATATTTATTCAAATGGAAATGAAAAGGTATTTATTCGTTTATTGATGAATAAAAAAGAAGTGTATTCTCAAATAAGTATTTTCATTCTTTTTTATTCATTTATTCGAATATTAGATGTATTCATCGGACACACTAAGCAACATAATGGCAAAATACGGAACTTGTATTTGCAGTGTCCACTATTGTTAAGGAGATTGCTGCATCCATGTAAAATAACAATATTTTCGTGTGTTTCATGTATGAATACTATACAGGGTGTTTCCAAATTAAATGGCAAAACTTCGGGAGCGTGTAGAGGAGTAAAAAACTAAGAAAAAAAGTCCTATAGACATATGCTCCTTTTTGCTTTGTTTCGCAGGAAATCACGAAAAAAGAAAAAAATATATTTAATTTATTATTTTAATTATTTTATTTATAAACTTTTTAATGAAGATTTTGTTCGAAATGTGCACCTCTTGCAGCAATACAAGCATTGCATCTGTCAAACACGGCTCTTGTAGCAGCCAGGCACTGTTCTTGCGATATTCTGTTCGCTGCAGCTACGATACGATTTCTCAAATGTTGCTCT